TAATAAATAAATAATGATATGTAGAGAAACAATAACAAATTATAAAAATATATTGAAAAAAGTTTGTATATAAATTTATCCATAGAAGAAAAAGAAATTCATATTAATTATAACAACAAACTACAGGGTATATTTTAATTGCAGAAGCTTGTTGTTATCAAATTAGTTTACTTCCCCTTTTATTGTATTTTATTTTTTCGCTTCTCTTTTTTACGAGTTGAAAGTTCAAATGCAGCTGGCGTGCGACAGGAAGTTAATATAAATATATAGATATATACTTTTTATATACAATATATGCTTTTCTTTTCATATATACACATGTGTCATGTGTGTAAAAACAGCTGTTGAAGTTGTGTGTGTGTGTTTGTGCGCTGCATGTCGAGTTCATAAATTCAATTTCGTAAATGGATACGAAGCAAACGCTTGTCGCATTTTGTCACATGCAACGTGCAGCAGCCGCAGCAACTGCGTCAGAGGTAGCCAAAGCCAAGTTTTCAACTCTTTTCACTGGCCCGCCGTCGCCCGGCTGCTGCTGGCTTGTCATGTCAACTATGTGTATGTGTGTGTATATATATATATATAATAAGTTTTGCCGCTTTGACTGCTGTCATTCAGAGAGCGAAAAGTTTTGGCCAACTGCAGCGCTCAGTTTCCGCTTTTGTTCGGCTTTTCCCATTTTCCCCTATTATTTCCCGTCCAACATAACTGACAGCCTCGTGGCTGCCTGTGCGGTCGGTCACACGGCGCGTATGAGCAATATATCCCGTGTGTTTCGCTTATTGATTTCTTTCTATTTTTTGTGTGAGCCCTCGGCTGTTGTTTTGTTCCCTGAATAGGTATATTTAGATCATTCGACTGCATAAAATTGATTATTAATTAATCTGTTTGCATTTGTCTCTTTGTTTTTCTTTTGGGGTTGTCACCAATTTGGCTTTGTTTATTCATTTTTTATTCATGATATAAAGACTCTCGAGGTTATTTTTAGGCATTTAACTGACAGCTTGATTGCCAGAATGCAGCCAGAAAATCGTGTCTAGTGTGAATTAATACCTATGTGGAACTAAATATAAAGTGAGCAATTAAAAGTAAACTAAAACGAGTAATGGATAAAATATTTTAGTCTGAAGTCTCATAATAATGGAAACATAAATCTTGAAATTTAAATACTCTTAAGATATTAAACAAGTAATTTCTGTTGGTTATTGCTGTCTTTTGCCAAGTTGTCTAATTCAATTATTTTGACGACCAACTGCAAACGCCAAACAATTGAATTAGTTCAACTGGCTGCCATTTTGCATGGCAGCTGGCTCAAATGGCTGCCTGATTGCCCGACAGCACGCACTTCAGCACTGAGCAACATTTATTGCATTCAAAGGACGCAGCGGGCGTCAAATTGATGCGACGAGCGTCTTGTATTCTTATAAGAGAAATGGTTTTTGCCTGCACTTTTGGGGGTACGCTCCGGCATTGTGCCATTATGAGTGGCGATGTTTTATTTTTATGGCAATTCTTTCATATTTTTTTCATTCCGTATCCTTTATGGTTGGCAATAATTTCATTTGGGTTAAAAAGAAATGAGAAGAAGCGAAATGTGGAGCATTTGCAGTCATCGACAGCGGCACAATTGAGTCGGATGGGAGCGAGTCTGCGGCCACTGGAATGAGACAGTTTTTGATTTATTTTCAGGACCAACAAAGCAAATAATGAATTTTTATCAGCAACAACAAGAGTCCAATTAAAAATCAGCTTTAAGAAGAAAAAAACAGAAACCAATATAAATAAACTGACCAAACATAAAATATATATAAAAGTGCTGTGTGTAAAATATATAATAAATATAATATTAATGTAAATACATGTAGAAATCTGTGTGCTTAACTCAACTGTGGACCAAAAACAAAAAATACAACTTCTATAGAAAATCATAAATATATATATACTTATATGAACATAAAACTAAATCTAAATAATATTTTATAAAAATCTATTAAGCTATTTGCAACATCTATGTGAGATTTGTGCATAACTAAATAAATAAATACAAAAAAATAGACAAATTAGCCATAAATCATTTTTTGTTATAGTTGAATTATATAGAATTATATATATACATATGATTTATTAGCCATAAATTCTAAGTGTACATACGACCAAGAAAAAGTGGTACACAATTTGGTAAAAGCTTTAACTAGTATTTAAGCCATAAACTAAGCTGCGCTCTTGGCTCGTCAATTGACCAAAAGTATAGTGTAAATATCGAAATATATATACATAAAATTTAAAACAAACAACTGAAAGTGTAACTCTAGACTGTGCTTTAACATATTTCCAAAAAAATAAAAATAAATAAAATAAAAAAAAAAAACCGAAATTTATTACAAATCAACTTAAACTAAAAACTAATTTTAAAGCATTTAATTCAATTAAAAACTTCGTCAGGTAAAACACACACGAAAATATTTAAGACTTAGCAATAAATATTTGGGAGCTGCTGTTACCATATAAGTGTGTATATCTGTGTCCAACTGCATCTGTGTTGTGCTCTCTAGTGTCTATTGCGCCCTCTATCTATCTCTCTCGCTCTGTGTCTATCTCTGTTTCTTTCTCTGTCTGTCTATCTATCTCTGTCTCATATATGTTTCACTTGACTTGCAACATGAGCAGCAATAATATTAATAATAACAACAACAATACCAATAACAATAACAATAATAATAATAATGATAATGTTAATGATAACAGTCCATTAACAATTACACGCAACTACACAATAGTGAGTTGGTTTTCACAAGTAAGTTTTTCGTATACATTCTCATGCTCGTTCACCTCATGTACAGAGTAGATGGGCTTGGGATGATGCATGTCTGAAGATATAGAGTTTAGTGTTAATATAGGAAGTTTTAGGGGGGTATTTTTGTAGATTGTCTGATAATACGTAAAGAAAAAAGCTGAACGATCTAGTTGAACAGAAAATTCGACTTATTATTGTCTCTCTCCATAGATTGAGTCAAATAAGTAGAAACTAATTAATTCAGAGTGAGTCTAATTGATTTTGAATATTGAATCCATTGATAGACTTCATAGAATAATCCATGGATTATTTCTCTAAATTGATTCTGAATATTGACTAAATAGGTTGATTGATATATTGAATCTATAGATAAACTCTATAAATTGATTCCTTAAATTGATCCCATAGAAATTGACTCTAGCTATTGACTGATTCCATAGACAACGCGTTCCTTGGATTGACTATTATATAGCTCCAGAACTAGCATTAAATTGATCGACTTCATATCTAGTTCTAGAAATTGCATCATCAAAGTTATTAAAAAAAAAAAAAAAAAAAATTATTTAAATTTGATTTTATTAGCTAGCCAATTTCAAATTGTGAACGAGTATTTTATAGTCGGCTAGGCCCGACATATTTCATACTTTGGTTTTTGTTGTTTTTTATTTTCTCACACATTCCGCAATCCGCTTGCCCAGTGTAAACTGTCACCATTTGCTCTATCAATGTGAAATCAAATTAAAATGCCAATCCTTTTGATACACAGCCACGCACACTCATACACTCAAACACTCACACATACACACACGCTTTCATTGTTGCCGTTCTTGTTGCTGTGACCTGGCTCTCATTTCACATCCTCATCCATACATCCATCCACACATGCTTCAACTCATGCTCCGCAGCATTCTCGACGTCTTCGTCATCTTTTTGTAACTCATCTCAGCTCAGTCAACAGTTGCCTTATTATATTGGCTTACCTCTTATAACTATATGTGTACATATATATTTATTTATAAGTATATAATCCTTCAACCCATATTTGTGTTTATTCCCATTCTTGAAGCAACTTGAACGCTTTCTCTTCCTCGTCTTCTTTTTACTATTTTGAATTTATTTATTACGTTTTGGTTGCTTTATGCTGGGCCAGCGAAGCGCTTGCTTCAATTGCTTTTGCAATAGTATGTATGTTTGTGGGCCTTAATTAGCTGGCAAGTTGACTAACGCCCAAAGTTTTACAGTTTACAAACTTCAGTTAAGTTGTCGCAGTTAAGGCTCTAAAGAGTTACCAAGTTATGTCTGGCTCATGCAATATTTATGGCCTTTTGTTTTATGAATGCTGAATCTGTTTAAATAGTCTTATTTATATAATATTTTAATAGTATTAAAATTAGTTTAATTAAATATAAATATGTACGAATTTTTAGGGCTAGGAATACCATATTATTAAATTTTATTTACTGAAAATTTAAATGTAATTCAGAGAAATATTTCTGATATATCTGTATATATTATCGCTGTTTAACTGTCTTGCCGATTTAATTTACTAATAAATGAAAACCATTTTGAATAATAAATAAATTGTAGCTCTCATATCAGTAAGAAAAAAAAAAAAAAAGATATTAAAATCATTTTACAAAAGCCAACTTAATTATGATTAATAAATGTCAAATCCAATATAGATTACTAATTGCTTTAAGCTCCACCCTCAAGTGGTATTCAATTATTATTAACAATCAACGCAACGAGTTGAATCGAAACTAATTATAGATTTAAGTGGAGCTATAAACAATAGAATTCCAATGGGATTTAACTGGCTTCAATTCAAATGCGAGCACAAATCCTTGGCAATTCAACACGCCGTGAAATGTCAAACTCAGCCATATTGAAATTCAAACAGATCAAAAGCCGCAAAATACAATAGAAATAAAGAACAGAAGCAAATAAAATGTGGCAAGCGGCTGAGGCAAACAGGCCAACAACGTGGCTCAAAATGTGGCTGTGCGTGTTAAATATAAATTGCAATTTTCAGCTGAAACAAAAAGCATAAGGCAGAGACAGAGAGAGTTAAATATAGATACTCTGTAGAATACAGTTGAGATGTATTAAACAAAAATAAATAAAAAAATGTAATGAAAAGTAAAATGGAATGAACTAATCATAGTTTGACTATATGTAAGTTAAAAATATTTTTTTGTAAAAATAAAATAATAAAAAAAAAATAAGAAAAAGCTTAGCATTTATTCAAAACTTGAAATCAGATAGCCTGTAGACTAGAGATAATTTTACGTATAAAATAGAATACTATTATTATTTTGATATATACCTTAGGCTTATATATTTTCTATTATCTA